TTTTTGCATCTGTGCCATAGAAAGAGCTTTTTTTTCTATGGCATTTTTGCCTTTTTCCCAACCTGGAAATGAAATTCGAGATAATTTTTGTAAGGAGGTAATATAAAAGAGTGTGGGAGGGGGTCCCGGGGTTAGTCCACCTGAGATGCCCTGGGAGACCACTTTTGTATAATTTTACTGCCTCCCCCGATGCCAATCATCTATCCCTGTTCATGTCCATCATCGTTTGAGCTATCCCTTTGTTCTGGAATGTTCCTTGTTCTTTATGCTTTCATTGGTTCCCTATTGTTAGGCACCCCTTCCCCCCCATCCCCATCGGTCCTCACCCTGTCAGTCATCCCTACTCCTCCCCTGTATCAGTCCATTATTGGCTGGTTTGTACCCCGACCCTCCGATCCCGTTTCTGATATATACCTTACCCCGCCCTTGGGACCGCGCGCTCCCTTCCTGAGAGAGTGTCTCCCTGCACCTCTGACTTCACTTTTCCCTCAATAAAACCCTTTGTGAAACACAGCAGCCTGAGCGTCATCCCACCTTTGGTGGAAGCCCCGTTTTAGCTATCCGGCACTGGCAGACCATACCCTCCGTGGCATTCCCGACGGGACACAGGTGCCGGCTGTCACACTGTTGGTTGTCTCAATTAATTTTGGGTTTTATGTCATGAGAAGGTCAATCCATCTGATTTCTTTTACTGTTGAATTCAAGAAAACTTTTGTTACTTTTTTTTTTTTTTTGGTATATATAAAAATATTAGAGCATTTATTCTGGAGTGATTCTCTGATGTAAAGGTTAAATTGTCAGTGCTGCCAGTACAAGAAAGACTTTATAAACAATGTTTAAGTCAAAATATTTTAGAGTCTTAATCTGTTCATTCACATTGCTTTTTAATATGGTCATTAACTTATTTTTGCATCTTTTTATTTCTATCATAAAAAAATATTTTTATTTGAAACAAAACTGCATCTTACAACTTGAGAAATTTTGATGCTAATAACAGTCCATTATTGATTTATACAGAGACATTAGTGATTGATATTGACAGAGATAAAAATAAAATTAAGTAATTTTCTGTACATACACTAGTCTTTGTAATATAGGAAATATATCATACATTTTGACAGAAAGTAGTAAAGTTCATATAAACTATGTTGTTTATTAAGGGTTTTCTGCTAGTTTGGGATGAGTATTAGGGTTTTCCTCAGAAAATGTGCTGAGAAATTTCTAGCTTAAACAATAGGCAAGATTTTTAAGATTTTGTTCATTGTTTCTTTAGGAAAAGAAAAAATAAT